CAGATGCCATTAATGGTGGATGGCATGAAATTAGCAATAGTAGGGGGACATTGATGGACACATGATGATCCATCACTGGATACGAGAGTGACTCACAATTCAAAGCTTCTTAGAGACTTGCATCAGATGCCATTAATGGTGGATGGCATGAAATTAGCAATAGTAGGGGGACATTGATGGACACATGATGATCCATCACTGGATTCGAGAGTGACTCACAATTCAAAGCTTCCAACAACTCAAATTTGTTCCCTAGTTTACATAAGAATCCACTAAAACAGCATTATATGAGCAAGGTGATACGGTGTTTTACACAATAAAGAAAGTCAGCCACATGCTTGAGGATGCTATCTGCTATCCAATTCATTTGCTGTTGATTTACATATGAGAGTCACATCAAGTGTTAGGCATAGGTCCACAAATCTTGCACCTTTTCAGGTTGGAGCTGAATCCTCCCTACAAATCAATGAAAACAAGATGTAGCAATTGGCCACTTTTGCTGTCACAGGTTCATGCAAGTAAGATCTGATCTGAGGGTTCCACATTTATCTTTATCGACAGTTGTGGCTATGGGTTTCTTAGGCTTAACAGGCTAACGTTCATGGTATTGGAGGGCCTGTGTCCGTCCTAGAAAAGGCTTAAAGAGATGACATTGTGATATGCTTTGGATCCTAGGTAGAGGATGTCACTTGGTGATTCTAACAGGATAAAATATCAGAAATAGTGACTCTTATTGTCAAATGATACGTGCTTTAGAGAAAATCTGGATACTGTGTGTGTGGGATATCAAGATTCAACAGTATTCTCAAAAAGGTGCCTTTTCCTTTGTCATTGGTCATATCATCTTTTTAACTTTTAGGATTTTTGAAATGCCGTTAATTATATTTGTCATAATTTTTAGATTTAATATAAAATAAATGTTCAAATTGTGCTTTTTTTCATTTGGATATTTAATTTTTTTCAGTCAATTTAGATACTTAATATTACAAGTTTTATTATTTTAAATATCTTATCAGGTCATTAAAAATTAATTAAAAATCAATTAATCAATCAGTGTTCGACACGTGACTTAAATTTTAATTTTTTTAAACTTTTTTAAATAAAATTCACGAATTAAAAAAATCTCATTTTTCTTATTTTTCAAAAAATACCCCAATATTCTCCGAAGTATCCATAAAATCCCTAATCCCAAAATCAATTTCGCCGATGACCATCATCACTGTCGGCGAGCACCTACCCTCCCACCACTCACCGACTAACGACATTCTTGATGAAAAAGGACTGAAAAAGGACCACCATTCACCTGCCGGCAAATTTCTTGATTTTTCGAGGATAAAAATGGCAATGGAATGCTTAATAAAGACCTGGTGAAGCTCCTCCACCTCTCTCCAATTCCTCCCTCCCCCACGATCCTATACATGTTTCTAGCACACAACTTTATTGCGCGCATTTGGTGAGCTATGGAATCAAGCCGACCACGGGTTGGATATTTGAGATTTAGGGATTTAAGTTTAGAAATTTATGTTATTAGGGCGACACCAAGGGAATGGCCAACAGTGGTGGTCCGAGGATGAGTTGGTGGATGTTTGGCGAGTGGGTAAGTGTCCGACGGAGACGATAGTGGCGGGGCTGCCGGTAAATGGGGTTGATGATTTGGGATTAAGGATTTAAGTTTTTTTTTTAGATTTAATAATTTTAATTTTTTAAATAATTTTTTTATAAGTTTATAAATACACCACATATCACATTTTGAGTAGTTAGACGATATTTTTAACGACTATCACGGATTAAACACTTAAAATTATAATCTTTATAATGTTAGACACTTAGATTATTTGAAAAAAGTTTAAGCACCTAAATAAGAAAATATATATAATTTAGATATTTATTTTTAGTATAACTTTTAGGGTAAAGTTCACAAATAGTCACCCAACTATAGGAAATTATAAAATGGTTTCCGACTATAACTGTTACTTTGTTGAGTACCCTGACTATTAAAATTTATAAATAGTCACTTGACTATTTTATGTTCAAAACTCGTCCTTATCCATAAAAAAATTGGCGGTCGTTTAAGTTGAACATTAACTTGTTCACTGAGATATGATAATATGATCCTAGAACCGTTTGAGCTATATTTTGTCGATCAAGTCTCTGTTTACATTATGCAATCGAGCCAGTGCTAGAAACATTATACTGTTGAGCAAGTGCTTGAAAGCAATGACGGTGTCGGTAGACATCATTAAAATATAATTTTATCATATCTTGATCAGCATGTTAACGTCTAGTTTAGATGAACGTCAATTTTTAACAAAAAATAACGAGTTTGGGACAAATGAATAGTTAAATGATAATTTTATAACTTTTAATAGTAGAAAGAATCAACAAAACAATACTTATAATGGGGGAACACTTTGTAATTTTTAATAATTGAGGATTCAACAAAAAAAAAAAAAGTAGTCAAAAATTAATTTAGATTATCTTGATTTGTAGCATATTTATGCATTTCAATTTCCAAATCTTCTTGTTTAAATAGATAGTTTATTAGTCAATAAAATATATGATTTCTCTAAATTTTCTCTAAATTCTTAAAATACTTATTAGTTATTGTGGTGTCAAGAGTTAGAGTTGGGGGGAAATATAACGAGCGACAATCTAATTTAAAGTTAAAAAATGATGACTTTGGAGCGTAATCGAAAATGTAATAAAAAATTATTATACGTTCAATTTAAAATATTATCTTCTTCGCAACATTTTTTTGTTGACAACCGAAAATATTAACTTCTTAATAACATAAACATTGTTCATTACGATTGCTCCTTCGATATTTGACTGCACAAGTTATCAAGGATGGGGTGTTAGAATGAAAGACCATCTTGATTGATATCTGGGAAGCTGTAGAACAAGAATATAAAATTCCTCACTTACAAGTAATCAATGATGGCTCAGATAAAAAAATCACAAGCAGTGAAAACCAAAAGCCAAAGCTTGTTTAATACTTTCTTTGAGATTTTAATTGAACATCGTATGTAACTCACCCTTCAAGAATGCGGATGGAAAGACGGCATGAAAAGACGTCTGCAGGTTTTATTTTCTCCACAATTTTTACTGTCCCCTTGGTTTCGACTTATTGTTTCAACTTTGAACCTGTTCTTGTTTAAGTTCCCATGTCCTGCACATATTTGGCTGTCCTTTTTTCCATATATGAGGTAAGGGAAGGTAAGATAGTAGGCTACTACCAACATCAGGTTGAGAGCAGCTTCCGTAAGAGACCTCCGAATTATTAAATGCCCTCTGTGAGACTCGATCCCGACCTCAAGATTAAGAACCTTGTGCTCTACCAACTGAGCTGGATGGTCATTTCAAAATCAATGCTTAAAAGCACACTCGTATTGAGTCAATAATATACCTTTGAACTGCCTTGTTTCATGTCGTAATTTGTATATTTATTTGTGTTACCTCCAAATCTTCCCCGCGTGTTGCATCTCCAGTTTACTCCTCCATAAATCGAAATTTTTGGAAGAACTTCTTTGATCGAATTTCTATAGACTCATATCTTCTATGCAATAGTTATCAGCAATCTTTGATATGATCTCTGACAAACCCACATAATCTGTCATATCCAAATTTACTGTCAGACAGTTGCGTCCATTCGACCTGCCAGTCTACGTTATATCCAAAATTTTTTGTATTGTAAGGTTATTTGTCTCTGTAGGTACAATAGAATGTGGAAGAAAGCAATGGGACTCGTGGAGTCTGAGCTTTGACATGCAAACATATTTGGAAGAGCCGATGCTTTGTTTCTTTTGCATGCAATTCAGCATACTAATTTTCCTTGCTACATAATTTGAATTTTTTTACACACAAATTCACCCATTGTCCCAATACAAGCATTTATATAACCTCAATGAGACGTTCCCCTACAGTAGCTGTACTTCAAATTCAATCTTGTGTATTCCAATTTCATCCGATAAAAAGATGAAAACTTTTGTTCTGCCTGCTGCTCTATAATTTTCTTTTTCTGCAATGGTTTTGTGAACATGTTAGGGTTCTTCAACTCATGGAAGCAGAAGGCACTGAGCTCTGGTCATAAATAGTAGGCCGTTATTCCCGTTATGTCCGCAACAGCAATAAACGCAACGCAATTGCAAATACAACCACAACCTCAATTTAGATCCCTGCATAGGAATGTTTCTCCTGACAGACTTGCAGGACATGACTTGTGTTCAATTGGATTATATGTGGGATCAGTAATTCTTTCTTTGTTGTTGCATTCCCGGTCGGATATTTTCAACAAATATGTTTATCTTTCTGTAAATGAGTTCAAACAATGGTATTTGTAAGTATATGTTGGCCTTCATTACTGCAAAAATGCAGGGAATTTGATCATTATAACAATTAAATTGAATATTTATGAGTATTAATGGAAAGGAATTTTCAATCCATTAATAAAGAAAACCCAAAAAGTAACTTGGGAAATGTGATGAAGTATAGTTGTTGGTATAAATGCCCACAATTATGTCCATGAGACTTTGCAGTCTGCAATGGGGTCGACGTGCATTAACTTCTTTTATTTACACAGGAAAAACTGAGAAGGCAAAAAAAAAAATAGAACAAAAAAGCCAATTGCATTAAAGTAAAAACAGGCAGCCATAGCCAATGGTAGCTATAGAGGAATGTGAACTTCTTTATATCAGCAGTAAATGAGGACTGACTGCTATGGTTGAGGTGGTTGCCCTGAGCTTTTGTCCACTTCTTCAAACTTAAATAAGCTCCAGAATTCATATACATTAAAGCCCTTAATCATCTCTCAACAACTCACGACTTCTCTTCTTTGTATTTTTTTCTTCTTCCTGGTTGTTGTTGGTCGAATTATGAAAGTGAATGGCAATTCCTGAAATGGGGGTTTCAAGTTTCTTAAACTCAGTTTCTTTGTTGCAGTAATGGTTGTTGGTGCACTGAACTTACCGAGTCAGCAGTTTACATTCATTTCGATGAAACTCCCCCCACCATGGTCAAGGCTCTCTACTGCTATTTTTAGGTACTCTTTTGAAAGGCCTAACGGTTCTAATGCTTGCAGGAACAGTAGTTGCTCTATTTACTGTGAGGTATCACCCTGGTAACTTCTCTGTCACTGTTTGATTTCAATCACTTAAGAGATATCGGAATCTTGAGATCCTCCCTAGATATTAGCTTAAATAAATGTTAGGGATTCAAATGTCGATGTCTTCAATGACGACCAAAAGTATCCACATTGGTAATTTACTAAGATATTTAACTTTGTTCTTGATGAGCAGTTGGATGGGCAGAGATTGAAACCTTGTCATGCTGATAACTTAGTACTGAGAAACTTAACTGCAAATCATAAGCACAACTTCCTTCTCAAAGTCATAACCCTTAATGGAGAGAAAAACTCTTCAGCTTATTCATGGTTTATCGGTAAGTATATCGGATTGAAGGCTTGGCATATATGATTCTGATAGTCTAGTGATTTGCTTATGGTTTAGACTCTTGTTTCAGATAAAATCCCACCAACAGCAATTATTTCAAGCAAACAGAATTACACGAATGCTAAAAAGATTACAATCGACATTACGTTCAATGAAGCTTGCACTCGACATGGTGGCTTCAAGTGTCTGAACTCATCAAATTGTGATGTAAGTGGGGTACTTTGCTCAGAACTTGTTAATTTGTTGAATATGAGATGAGGTTTTTGAGGCCTTGCCGTGTGCAATAAACAACAGAAATTAAAACTTCAATGAGTCTTCAGGCTTTAAATTGAGAACAACTCATTTTGTAGGTTATTGTTGATGGTCCTGCGCATGTCCAGCCATCATCTCTGAGCATCATTGAACCTAACATTAAATACAGCTTCCTACTGGTTCTACCCTCGAAAAGCATATATGGGCGTGTTGTGGTTACAATGGTGATGATATTTGTAAGGATAGGGCTGGAAATAATTTCATGAGAAGCAATTCTTCCACCTTAATCGTTCACTTGGTAAGAATCCGATCAACGATTTTGAGCATCAAGGTTATAGACTTTGTTACTTGTATTTAGGAGTATGTGATATATATGGTTTTGTGTCTAACGAGTGTGTTCAGTTTTTTTGGTTCTAAGTTTTCCATAAATGTGAAGGACCATACCTATACAATGTCCACATATGTGTCGATTATGAGTACTTCAAGGAAACAGAAGAGTCTTGGTGACAGTTTACAGTACAAAATCTTATTTTGAACCTTTTATTGTTCATATCTCCAAAACTTATGTTAGACAGAAGACCTGTGTTGGTTGATCTTTGGTCATCTATTCCATCATACGAGTTGTCGATCAATGGAGTCCTCGAACAGTTTTCGCAACTAACAGAATGGAGGAGTTGAAGGTGTACATGGATTTCAGCATTCGGTAATAAATTCAACAGAGCAGATCCTAAATGCATTAGATGTGAACTTTGGTAGTTTAATACCTGTTAATCAGAGAACTCATGGAAACAGCCGATTTGCATTCAGTGTAAGCAACCAAATTTACATTCTCATAAAAAAAATTGAAATATCATCCCTTGTGATAGAGATTACATCCTAACTAAAAGTGTTATAACTTTGGCAGCTCAAGAATATTGCACCAAAAACTGAAATAATCACAGTCAAACTACAAGCTGGTTTGTTGATTGGCAGAACGGGCACTCCTGTCTCACTGTTAACTCATTTACATTCCTCTATGGTACGCTTTTTCTTCCATTGTTTTGCCTCCTTTCCAGAAAGAGTTAGTGGCACTTTCAGATGTTCCTAGCCTACGCTGTAGCTTCTTTGAGAGCTAATTGATGATTTTTGCTCTAAGATTGCATGAAGCCTGGGATCGGGTTAAGTACGAGTTCAGAAAACTTTACTAAGGAGTCCAATATCAATGTAGTAGTTGAGTTCACAAGCCGGTTTTTGGTTTCGAGGCCTCATGATAGAAGTGTATGGAGGGAGACTCATAAGGCAGGTGCATATGAACATCCGAACATTGATATCAGAAGCAATCATATCCTAATAAAAAAAACACACAAGCAATCATGCCATTCTAGTGATGCATATTTAACATCATTTTCTTCATGTAGGTTAAGGAACTTTCAAGGGCTCTTTACTCCTTGACTGTCATGGCAATAACTAATAATATGGTGTCAATTTCTATTCCTGAGGGAAAGTGAATGATATTTCAGGAAATGTGAATGTGGCTTCTAATAGATTGGAAATATTCACTGTAAGTTTAACAACTTTCTCTTTATTTTCTTCAACTATTATAGTTTATCATAATCCAGGAATTACCCAGATTTTGTTTCAGAATTGGTGAACGAAGGTTAATACATGAACATGTTCTATATTTAAACAGATTCAACACCTGCAATATCGACAGCTCTACATTCATTTGTGACTGCTGGAGTCTTAGCAACAACTCTAGCTGCAGCAACTCTTTCACTTTCCTCCACAAATCTTGGAGCAATTTCGAGTAATACTTACGTAGCTTCCGATGCGTCAAAAAATCTTCATGTAAGTGATTTCAATAGCTTGGTGGTGTCAACAAGCTAAAATTTTTGTGCCATCATACTTTAAGCTCAGAGTAACATTAGAAAATTTTCATCACAGGGAATGATAGGACACCTGCAAGTTTTTGTCCTTTCAGACTGGCTATTAGCTGATCAACCCATTGAATATTCAGAGACAACAAAGGTCTTAGGTGGCTAATACTCGACAGAAACTTCCCTGGAAAAAGAATGACTGTCATTTTGGCCTAACAATGTTTATTTGGATCAAGGGAGATCCTAAAGAGATCCGCTAGAGCTTACCATGACATTCAGTTCATTAGCCCGTCCTACAGCCACAAAAGTTACAATTTCCCACTGAATATGACCCAAAGTTCAATGGGAGGCGCAACATAAGCAAAGAAAATACTCCTTTGGGCTACCTCTAAGTTCAAATGAACTTCACCTTTTCTTGGTTGGTATTTCTGTATGATGTTGATATTATGTTTTAAGTGAAAACTTTATATTTCTATTCATTGGTTATGCAGAGAGGAGAGCCATTATCGCTGGCAATGTGTAAAAAATTGCAGAATTATAAAGGGTCAGATAAAGAATTTTAACTTCCTAATTTTGTTTCGAAAGATGCGTAATTTTAAGATGCTGAAGTAGTTTATTTATCAGGTGGCAGGACATGGAGATGAACTTGTTCTGGCTTAGCACAGGAGTTGGCAGCTTGCTAATGCTTCACTTGCACGTTAGTTTTCTTAAGATGGAGGATAGGTGCTGCAGCTCGATGGATGATTTCGGTTCCGAGATTCGAGCTCCTCCTTTTAATTCTCGCACTGCCTTGTGTATCTCAGTCTGCTGCATTTGTAATAAGAGGTGAGAAATTACTTATATGGCATCTGGTTTTGAATAATATATTGATAGTGAAATCTAAAGACATATATGATTGATAGGTCGTACAATTGAAGGGATCATCACTGGAGCTTTTGTTGTTAGCTATCCCTGCGGCCTTCATTTTATCAGTATGCCTTTTTAT